CTCACGCTGTCTGCTGAAGTTGAGGACAACCCCCCCCCCGAGGCTGCCGCAGCTGGGACGTATGACTGGGACAAGTAGGCTGCACCGCACAAGTATGACAAGTATTTAAATTCTCAGAGCATTTCCTCTGCACATTTTGTTTTCAGATTAATGTCATTATGCCAGAGAATAATGTTTTTCTTTGACTTACACGTTCAAAAAGCTCTGCACCTGCATCTGTTTAGAGGTGTTTAATGTTTGCACTGTTGGCAAAGGTTTGGACTTAATTTACAAGCAAAGCAAAACATTAATAATGAAAAAAGGTTAAGCATCTTGTTCCTGACAGTGTGGGGATTTCTTGAAACAGACCACCGTAAAGAGGGTGAAACCTTTGATTGTAAATATTAAGGGTGAAACATGCAGAGAAACATTATTTCACTGTTAAATTTAGGAAATGTAAGGGAGGTTTTTTTTAATGTTATTCTCTGTTTGTATCGTTTTTAATGCCAAAAAATCAAGTAAACTATTCTTTTGATGACTATGAAGGGTGTATGAGATTAGCGTGCAATGAAACAGTCTAAATCATAAAAATAAAGGTTAACATATATACAAAAATCAATCAGTTCATGTAGTGGTACGTTGAAACAATGATAAATAATTGTAAAATGATGTTATAATTTAATATTTCTCATATTACTTTTCAGTGAAATGAAGATCAGAGAGATTACAAATTTACACATTATTAAATAAAAAAAATAAAACAAAGGATAATAGGAGATAGGCAGGTTTGTTAGTTATTAAATAGTGTGTGTATTTGTTTGACTGGCAATTCTTTTGTCTGAAGGGCACAAACAACATAAGGAAACAACGTGATATGAAACATGAAGTTGTACTCCAATAATTATTACATTTTTAAATTGTGATTGGTGCGTGGAAATAACTTCAGTGGCATTACTGCAACAGAGTCCCGTACACATCAGGCAGGAGATTTGAGAGGAACGATCTCATTATAGAATAGCAGGTATCCCTTATAACATTAAGCTAATAAAGAGAATGGGTTTTACAGGCATTTAACAGGACTTAAAGGTGTATTAAATAGATTAGATTAACTAGTTTAATGCAAACAACAAACAAGGACAAACTAATTGTTCTGTGTATTTGTTTCTTTTAGGTCACACGTTTGCCCTTATTTTTGAAAGAGGCAGGTAAAATGGGAACAAAGCTGCAACATGAACAACATCATAAGCAACAGTGTTGGACTTGATTTCTAAGAACCTGACCAGGAGATATCACTCATTAACTTTGGAAATGTTGATGGTTAATGATCCCCTCATGAAGGCCATAAGTTACCATTATTATTTTAATGGAAAACATAATCAATAACATGAAATACATTCGTCAACAGGGTTGACGCTTTTGAAATTGCAACCCTGCCTTCATGAGTCAAGCGTTACCTTCTTTCCCTGTGTGAGTACTCAAGTTATTTTTTTAATATTCAGAGTAACACAGGCCCAAATAAAATGATCATCCACTATGTTGGTTTCCTTCCAATGAATGTGAAACAGGAATCTGAGAGGAAATTGGATCTACTGTATTTCCTTAGTAGCCTCAGTTGCAAAGTGCCTACACTCAATCTGCAGACCTAAGTGCACTTTGCAATTGTGTTGTTTGGCGTCTGGCAGGACCAGCACGCAATTCACACCATGCATTGTCTTTATACTGTTGGTTCCAATGAAAAGTCAGAGTTAGCTCTCCAATGGCATGTGAAACAGTGATGTATAATGTTTAAATCTATAAATAAAACAATAGAATGTTGTTGTGTTTCATAGAATACGTCCTTAACTTCAGTAATGACTAAAGCAGATTGTTTTGGTCACTTCTAACTTACTTAACGTTATAGATTAATTTTTTCAGTGGGTTGTATTTGGAATGAAATTCTAACATCTAAATATGTTTGAACTTAAAGATATTGTAGGAGTTTATTTAGCTGTCTAAGGAACAGACTGAAGTTAATAACACTGTCTCTTCATGATCTTTAAAAGCAAAATAGACTGTCTGCCACAATAATTGATTATTGCTTTGTAGTAAGCTGTATTGTATAATGTATGATTTGTTTTTAAAATCATAAAAGCTCTGAAACTGCTGACAAGGGGTAGTTGTCAGATGAGGAGGTGAACAGAATGCTGCAGAAACAGCTGTTTTTTTTTGTTTTTTTTTACATTTTCAACATCAAAGTATTTGGAGTAATATGTTTGACTGTTAAAGAAATACTGGATGAGATTCTGTGTTTGAAAACGTCACCTACACATGTACAGGGCAGCAACAAAAAGGGGATAAGAACTATGGCTTTGTCCATAGGGGGCGCAAATATCGACACAAACTGTTCCTAGCAGGAGCTTCAATTCATAGACACATCCAATTTTGCTAGATTGGTCTCCCAACTTGAAAAGCAATCGTAAGGTTGACATTTGAGTGATTCTTTAAACAACTTTTGGATGGATTGTTATAAAACATCCTCAGGGTGAGTTGTAACCACCATCAGGCCCAAATGTTGATTTGTGTAGTGTTAGCATGCTAAAAAACCTACATAAGTATGATGCTTAAATGTTACACTACCTAAACACCACTCCTTTCTTAGGAGTATTTTAGCGCATTAGCAGATAGCACCACTGTGTCTAAATACAGCATCGTAGAACTGCTAGTTTGACTGTTGACTTGTTGTTTCTTTTATATGACTCAATCAAAACAACCATTAATGTATTTGCTGACTCACTCATTGTGATTTTTACTACCTCTAAATAGCATGCTAAATGCCTGTACTAAAGCTAGCTCCCTCCCTGTATACTCTCTATTGATAAAGGACCATATTGAAGGCAGCCTGCTCACAGTAAAGATAAGACCTATATCTCCTGTGTTTATCGAGCTCCCTTTGATGCAGTGTAGATATGTTGTACCTCACTTACAAACTCTATGGAGTTTAAACTGCTCTCAGTGACGATGACTGCTGAACCAAAAGTCATAAAACCTCTTCACCTTGATAAACTTGTTTTATGTGTTTACACAGTTGTTCACAGGTCGTCCAGTATTATGGAGTTACATTTTGGAAAGACGACCTGCTGACAGGGATTCATCTATAGGTGTGAAGCTTTCCTTTGAGCCTTGGATGTCAGGTTCCACTCGGCTCTGTTGCCCTGTGTCCAGTTTGCTGGTGGTCGGGGATAGATATGGGTTTAAAATCAAATATACTTTTACTTGTTACTCTATGTGCTTTTTGATACTACGACTTAATTCTAACATCTGCATGCTAACAACTTTAGTACAACAATGCAAGTAGCCCGTTTAATGTTAGCATGATTACCATCTGAGGCTGGCATGTTAATAAGCATCTTAAAGCATTATTACTTAGCACAACACACAGACTATTACTAAGACTGAGTTGACTAGGTTTTGCCAATGTTTGATTACAAGCCAAAGTAATACACATTTTGATGCACTTCATTCAAAATAAAGGAATCACCAATTGGTTTAGAGTTCATCTGAAAGGAAAAGTTCTCTGGCTTACATTGTTAATCCATCTAATAATTATTGAGGCAAATAGAACCAATAGAAGCTGGAGTACAACTCTTGAGATCAATGTCTTTTTACTATGTCCTCTGGAAAGCTTGACTATCTAGCCTACAATGAATATAGCATGATATTTTACTATAATATTTATATTGAATATCTCTTGCCTACAAATGTCAAAGAAAAAAGAAAAAAGAAACACATTTAAATGTGTATCAATGCAGGTTTAAGAAGTTAAATCACTTATTATACTCAGGCACTTGCTCAGTTTAGTGTCTTTGCCGCCCATGAAGTATAGACAGATTATTTGTCTACCCAAAGTGTCTTATGTTCAGTATGTTTACATAAGCTGCTAGAGAGAGCTGTGTTTACATTGGCATATAGGTAATCTACCCTTAACCCTTAGCTAACAAAGCTACTGTTAAGAGAAAGTTTGCAGCTCTTAACTCTAACTGATATGACCTGCACACACCTACACACACACACACACGCACTTTCTAACAGTGTTTACATTCAGCCACAGAGACAAACACAGAGGAGCCTCACCCCAAGTGACCCAGCACACCGGCCAATCATGCAGGGTTATGTTGGCTATCAGTGATTGGATGGCTGACTAGTTCAGGATCAACAGTCTTTTTTTTTTTTGACTGGACATCCCCACATAATATGCAGGAGATCCTTCTCCATCCCTGGATTAAATGTGACATTTAGGAGTCATAGTCTTGTATTTCCTGTGCTGCTACAAAGTCCGGGCCATAGATAAAGTCAAGACCCACAGTCATTATACACGAGACTGTTTGTCTTGTTGTTGTCCAAACTTGAAGTTCAGATGCCACGTTCACCCGTCTACTCTACAACAGATGAGGTCAGTAGTTAAACATAGAAAGAAAGGTCAAGACACTGGTAGAGAAGGAGGAAGTTCAGAGTGACAGATGGAAAATAATTGTTTTTTAGAAAGAGTGAGAGAGAGTGAGAGAGAGAGAGAGAGAGAGAGAGCAGTCGTGTTAATCTGTGTCAGTGCTCTTCTATTCTTAGACAGTCCCCTTGGCCAGCAGAAACATGAGAGACACACGTGATGACGAGCCCCAATAACTTTAGAGAGAGGGTCAGAGAACAGTGACAGAACCCCGAATGGAGACTTCCCTCCAGATGTATGCGTGATTGTGGTCAGGATGTTGGGATGCTATCGAGGAGATGTATGATAGTGCCAAGTCTTTTACCTGGAGCCACTCTATGGGGAATTTATTTTGCTTTTATGAATTATTTTATCTCCCATTAACTCCAAGCTAACACATATTTTAATATCACTTTGACATCACAATAAGTTGAAAAGGTCTTTTCAACTACAGTACACTTATTTGAGCTGCAGATCAACATGGGAGCAGACTGGGTGAAACTCAGTGGAGGGCTCCATCTAGTGCCCGCAAAGGGAATTTCTATTTCCTGAAGCACAAAGGTGGATTCATAATTCTGTCACACGGCCATGTGGACTCTCCGAGTTACTTTTCTATTACAGTAAATTAAGATGATACTCATCATGAACCATAACTTTGGTAATGTTTGAAACATATTTTGAACATTAAATGCTTCTACTTTCAAGTTTACAGAAAATAAAAGATGTGTAATGATACAAGATATATACACTACAACTATTTAGAAAATCATTAGAGGTAATTCAGTTATTGATAATGGCTTAATGCAAACATTTTTATACAGTTTAAGGCAAAACAATAACTTCCTGTATTCCTGCACTACCTGTAAAACGTCATATTAACTCAAATGTCTTTGTTTTCAATCCGTTAAACAGGAAATGAACCGAAGACAAAAACACCAACAACAAAGAACAAAGGTATGAGTCAAAACAAGAGGATACATGTTCAAAACCAAATAGAAAGTTGGCCCTGTTTCTATCTAATCTTTCATTTCAAAACAATAAGACACTAATAACAAAGTACAAAAATAACTAAATAAAGGGAACAGAAACAGAAAATAACCGACACATCTTGTGTTCTGTGTCAATCTCCTCCATCTCAAAGTCCTTTCCTGTGTTGTTTGCTATTCAAACAGGCAATGTTACATTCAAATCAGAAATGTGCTCTTAATGTAAATGATTTAAAGTGTTTACTGTATGTATCTATAAAATAACTCATCTCTCCTTGTATCATACTTTCCTGTTGATATTATTAAAAGTTGATATTAGCCTTTGAATGGTGGACAGGAGTTCAGACTTGAAAATGTGAAAGTTATTTGACAATATGCATCATATGAAAGGTTACTGCAGGAACACTGCAGGAACACTGTAGTAATGACATGAAAGAAAAAAAAACGTAACTATTTTAATTTATCATTACAACCACAAGATGGCAGTGTAGGCATGCTTAAGTTTTGTGTAGCCCGTTAGTGGGAAGAAATAGGAGTAGTTTGAAGAAAGAAGTTTAAATATTATAATGATTATGATTACTGTGATTATGATGATTCTTTTTATTTACTTATACTTTATTTTATTATTATCCCCTTTCTTTCTTTCTCTGGTTTCAACTTTATACAATCAGGGAGGTAATTTAAATAACTGAATGAACAATAAAAAAACAGCAGAGTTGTGTAAGTGATAACAGTGTGGGTAAAAACTCAATGAGAGACATGACAGAATGCAATACATCTAGGAAAGGGATATTCTCTTATTATCTTTAAAAGGCCTGCACAGCATCTCTGAAATCTTTGGTGAAATATTCACTCCTGCATATCTCGTGAACTAGTGCTAAAATATCTTTCACCTATCTAAAGCAATCACAGATTTACTTACTTTGTTCTACTATGATGTTGAGAGCAAAGGATATTGATGGATACGAGTCAGACATCATTATTACATTTAACATATAGAGATTGATTTTGAAAACTGGCACTTCTTTTGATGCCATGTATATCGACTTGCACGTAACAAAGGATGCTCCACACTGATGTTGATAATAATGCTCCATTAATTCATATTTTAAAGATTGGACTGAAGTCATGTCTAGATACTTCAGCACTTTACATCACACGTAGGACTTCTCCAGTTATTGGAGAAAAGTTTTCCAGGTACTTGAGTGTGAAAAAGAGTTAAAGTTCCTTGTTTCTTAACCATTAAAATAAAGTCCACTTTAAGACCCTTGTAATGCATGCCAAGGGAAACAGACATCATGTAGATAATAACAGGGTAGTATTATCACAGTATGTTCCTGTTATTTATTTATTTAGTTCCTAAAAAGTGCATACGAATCCAAACGTGAGATAACAAAAGTATAAGTATACCAAAGTTCCTGGTTCAGTTACAGAAAATAGGGTCATTGATACAGGGCTTGAACAAGTACTATGATAATGCCAAATAGTAATATATATGGACTAATCTGAATAAAGACAGGCATGCATGGGGATATTTTTCTTCTGTTATTTCTCTGCAGGTATTAAAAACAACCTCATGTTGTACAAGCCTTTGATCCTTCACCATCTCTCTGTGTTTCCTGAACTCAGCAACATGTTTATTGTCCCCTCTCTGCAGCTCCTCATACAGTCTGGGGTTGCTGAATCAACAGCATTGTTGCCAGGTTGTCATGGCGTCTGATTGTTGAGTATCATGTCACACGCCCCATCACAGCCAGACGTCCCTCTGAGCCCGCTGCCGATCCCATGGTCACCATTACGTTTACCTTGGCAACAGCAAGAGGCTGGCAAAGACGGAGAAGCCGCGAGACGTTGGTGGGGTCGTATCACCTCATGTGAAGCCTCCAAACACTTAAAACAGATTTTCAATGAGGTTCTGTACTGGGAGGCACTTAATGAGTGTGTGTGAGTTTCTTTGTAGGTCTAAAAACTTGTCTAACTTTATGTTGTTTTCCTCCAAAATCAGTCGACTACTAATTTATAACTACCCACTATGGAGAAATTCTCTACATTCACTTGAAGTGAAACCCCTGCTCTAAAAAGTAAATATTGTGAATGAGCAAGTTTTAGCAATGACATTAAAGTATCACAGCTATACCAACATTGCTCCCTTTTGTAGTCTTTTGTGTTTTATTTAGATTACTAATGCTGATGAATTAACATGTAAAGCATAGCGTTGTTTTTATACTTTAGGGTGGTTAAATCTATTAGACTGAATCATTTCTAAGGGTAATTTATATTGTGTTTTTAAAAACTGTGTTTTTTTAGTCCATAAAAACCTTTCACTGCTAAATTACTGTTGCAGAGTTAAAACCAATAACTTCCTCTTAAATGAAGTAGAAATGTAAACTGGATTTTAGTGATAATAAAAAAACTAATGTCACAGTAGGCCGAGGGGGAATCTTAATGTTGGAGAGCTCCTCCAAAGCTGACTGAAACTAATCGTAGTTCAGAAGTAAATAATGTTAACATCTGTAGAGGGTTTTCTTTGCGAAACCTGTTTTAGAATGGTGCACAAATGGTCCACATCAATTAACCATTAAACAAGGATCCAGAACTCTCCAGGATCCTGGGCGTCTCGGGGGATCTGAGCCCTTGAGGCTATGAGTTTGAAAGGGAAAGCCAGAGAGGAGACTCCGAGGCCGGGCCAGCAAACACACCAGCAGGGGGTCTCATCACTCTCTCCACACTTCTGCTGTCAGGCCTTTTGTTTCTGCAACATTACTCACTGACACGGTCGGCCTCCCAGGTAACTACACTGCTGAGCTGCTGCTGCTGGAGGGAGAAAGTCAGAGTAAATCTCAGACAACACTGAGCTGCAGATTATAAGTCAACCAAGATGAAACAGACAGAGGGCTCCTCAAAGACAAGAGAACTCCACGCTACACCTCATTATAAAAAATATTCTAAATACTAAAACAATCATCAACTTGAAGACAAAGGAGTGGAAGCACTGCAGAGTGTATGTCATAATCGCCTCAGCCACCTTTCACTTGTTCACTTCTATATGAAACACTTGGAGTAAAATCCCTTCAGACACCCTGGACAGAAACTTCACTTGTGTTTATGCAACAGGTCCCTGCATGCCAAAGCAAAGTGACACAAGACCTTTCTCAGAAAACAACTGCATGATAACAGCACACTAATACTTCACTTCACTGACAGATGATTAATTGCAATTCAATACTCATATTTTAGTAGTTTAAATGACAGCTGGGGAAACATGGATGTGTACAGTATACATGCAAACCTTATAATTAAACCACTATCTTTACCACAGTATATAAGAAATAACTTGAATCCCAGCAGTTGTTACAGTTTTTACATTCATTGTTGAACCTTGAATATATTTTTCTTGTAGGACCATTAGCTGATGTTGAGTTATGTTTGGTTAATTCTGCTGCTTTCTTCGAGTTTGATTGGGGGAAAAAACAGCTGACTTGGTGCAAATGCTTTTTGATTATTTATACCAACGCCCCCCCCCCCCAAAAAAAAGAAAAGAAAATCATCAGTCTCCGATAAATGTCATTTTAATTGCAGTGTTTGTTCAGAAAACGTTTTTCTCATTATTACTATAAAATGTGAGAATATTAAGACATATTCTCACATTTTGTATTACTGACCACAGACCAAATGAGAAGTCCTGTGCAACAACAAGCAATACATTTGTATCTTCTTTAAAAAAAAAACCCCATAATTGACAGTTAAAATAATCAAGAAAAAATGTGTTTAAAGACAAAGTACAAAGGAAAAAAACTAAAGCCAAATTACAGTTTTAATTGATCCTGAATCTCAGCTTTATTCTGTCCTATTAATGCTGTGATTAAAACAATATTAAGGACAGTTTTGTTTCAATAACTTATTTTAAGAATACAATAAAAACGAAAACATAAACAGATTATATATCACAGATACAACCAACAATGAGAATAATATTTCTTGATCCACTGAAGTGATGAAGCAGAGAAAAGCACACAGTGCTGTTTGCTCTGACAGAATTGGAAACAGGTGAGTTCAAAATCTCACTTCTCATCTAACATGTAAATCTTCAGAGAAATATTTCTTTGACTGTTTGGCATCATTTTGTGTTTCTTTGATTGAAAAACTTTGTGTTGACTTCTGCTCAGACCCATGCGGTTAAATCTAAGGGTGCAGATTTGATTTCAACTCTTTATTTCGGAATCTTTCACAGACTGAAGATGAATTTAAAAGAGTGTCTTCTGCTCTCCTTCACACCTTTTCCACTTACTTCCACTGACTACTCAAATGTTCATCTTACCCCCTGGTGTTGTGGCATATAGCATTAAAAAAAAAACCCACAACAAACAAAGAGGTAACATGTTGAACATTCTCTCAGGATTCACGCTGGGTTTTCTAAATGTTTCTTTTTTTTTTTTCTTTTAAATGTTTGGGCATTTACTCCGTAATTAACTTTTCTTTAATTCCCATCAAACACATCTGAAATACCCTGAGGAAATGTGATTGTTTACCACATTTTGCTGCTTTGTGACGCTCATCAATCATTTCCAAACAATTTTCTCTTTTCCTCGAAAAACAGAAACTTCAGTGGGGAGCTACGAATTTGTTGATTTTTCATATTTCACAGCAAGACATCTGGGAAAATAATTGCACAATCTCCTCAGATTCCGTTGTATTATCACACTACATAATCTCATATCATTATCCCGACTTTCTTTTGTGTTTTTTAATCTCTGTCACTTTACATGGGAGCTGTGTGTTAAGCAGCAGAGTTTGTTCAACCAGGAAGTCTCTTGAGACGCTTGATCACTTTTCAAGATAAACCTGGCCAAAGCAGAGGCAGCCTACAGCAGATTATACAGACTCAGATAATAATAATTTACATTATGTAGCACCAGAACAAAGGACCCGAGAGGAATAAAAAGATTATAGGAGGGCGTTCATTTGTATGACACATTTCATACAATGAGGCCATTCAAAGGGCTTCAGGAAGTATTGAATTTAAAGAGAAGTTTTCAGATTAGAGGGTAGAGTAAGCAGTGTAAAAAAAGGGAAAGCTTATAGCTTCAGTTTAAAGGTGGGCAGAGTCTAAACTTCTCTGACATATACAGAGAGATGATTTCAGGTCTGTACTGTGTGATTACTAAAACACTTCTTCATTGTGTTTCTTTCTAACCCTTGGGGCAGCCAATAGGCCAGCCACAGATGTCTCCAGGTTCCAAGATGGTTCATAGGTCACAAGCATGTCAGAGATGTTTACCACAGAGAGGTACTTCTCTAAGAGAGGGAATCACACACATGCACAAACAGGACCCTGTGGACATGCATTAATGGAGAGATGTCAGAGTGGGGCTGCTACACACTGCTACACAGGGAGCATAACAGAGCTTTGGAGGGTTCGGGGGCCTTGATCAAGGGCATCTCAGCAGTGCTCAGGAAGTGACCTGGCACCTCTCTAGCCACCAGACCAACTTCCATACTTTGGCCCGCACCTTGACGCGAACCAGGACCCTCTGGTTCCCAACCCAGGTCCCTACAGACTAATCCTCTGCTGCCTCCTGGAGCTTGTTTTAAAAACCCTGTCAACGGATCACTGCAGTGATGTAATCTGATGAAACTAAAGGAAATATAAGAACATAAGACTTTCAAGTAGTAGAGTGATTACAGTTCAAATCTTTATAACATCTGTTACCGATGTGATGTTTCATTGCATTATATAGAATAATGGTTTCCAAACGAAGGTTGTATTGTAAAGTATGAGTCTGGGTTGATCTAATTAGATGAGTGAAACAGAAGGAAACATTTACAGAAGTACATGGTGAGGTTACCAAAAACATGGCTTTAACAATGGAGCTCTGTCCAGTTAACACATGGAATAAAGGTGACATTACAATTCACAACAACCAAAACAAAATGCAGGCATGAAGGATAAGAACACAACAACACAAAAGTCCTGCAAACTACACAAAACACACAACGTCATTTGTAACTGTACCCCAGAACAACACACGCAAGCCGCCAGAGGACTCTGTCACTTTTCAAACGTACAGTTTGTCTTTTGGTTTGGCATTTGCTTGAACAATTTGTGATGTAATTTTTTGTTGCAAATAAAAAAAAAAAAGCCCTCAAGATTTGGGCAGATTTCAACCTGAGGGTTAAGGAAGGTGGTTAAACTTTTCCAAATCATAGAACATTTGTAGTTTTGAGTCATAGGTGTTAAATCAAGTAGAAAACAAGATTAAAATGACAGGATTCAAGTCTCATGCATTGTTTATGCAGATTGTGATTGTAGAGCCAGTATTATGTGTGCATGCATTGGTTTGAAGAGAGAGAGAGAGAGAGAGAGAAAAGGAGAGAGAGAGAGAGAGAGAGCGAGAGAGAGAGCCTGCCAACATCAGCTTCACCACCTCTCCCTCTCTCTGGGTGCAGCTTTGTGCGCCATCAAAGGTCCTGAGCAAAGAGACATGAGCCTTAATTGTTGTGCTTTATCAGGAGGATAAAGGCAGGATGGGCATCAATTTAGGACGCCTTTATTAGACTACAAAGTGTGACAGACTGACGGAGAGATAATTGGCAGAGAGGGGAAAGGAGGACGGGATGAAAAGGGGAGAAGGATGGAAAGACAAGGAGGAGTGGGGACGTGGATGGAGGCGTGTTTGATCAGGCGTTTGTTGAACAGAAGACTCAGAGGAGGGAAAATGAAACTGAACCAGATGAAGTCGCTCCTCTGTTGAAGCTACCCAGCTTGTTTTGCAGGAGAGAAAATAAGTCCCCAATCAATAATTAGAAAATGCACAACTGAGCCCCGAGCTGTTTCTTCATCACCCAAAACATTATCAATTCTACTGTAAAAAAAAACAAAAACATTAGCATAAGTTAAATGTTCTGTCTAAAAAAAAAAAAATAGCAATTCTTTCTTACTTATTTTTCAAAGCTGCATTCCTCACCAATCACTAGATTCATTTATTGTACAATGCTTTGACTTTCTCTGAGCAACATAACATTTGTTTTGTTGAATGGTTCATCAAGAAGCAAATGGTTTACCATAAAGCTGAGGTGTTTGCAGTGAAATGTCGACTTGACATTTTAAAATATTTCCTGACTTTAAATGTTTGCACAGTTGAGAG